GATCCGGATTCGATAAAATCTCTACAGCTATGATTCGGATTCGGATTCGAACCAAAATTTCTGGATTCGCACAGCCCTGATTAGTTCAATACAATCTGTCCCTTCTTGGTATTTTATCATTTAATTAATGTTTGTAAGATATTGTTGCAACAGTAGTGTATATTAAAATGTTACAACTTTATTATTATAACTCAAATTGCAATACAAACATTGTTTTAATGTTTTAAGTTGTCTTAAATTAAGTATTTTCTAAGTTAAGCTAAATTTTTAAACACTAAACTCAATAAAAAATAAAAAAGTATATTGGAAGGAAAAAAGAAAGTGGAGAGAGAACTTGGCCATGCTATAACCAGCTGATCTCTAGTTGTTGATTTCTATGTTATGTTTTGAATTTTGATTATAAACACTAACTTGTTTAAAAATTATTATTTAATTAAAATAGTTTAATCTATATCTATAAAAGAGGAACTATGTATGTATGTATGTATGTGTGTGTGTATATACGTTATGGACTCCGAAACCGCTCGACAGATTGTAATGAAACTTTCAGGCATTATTAAGCATTTTTCAAGGATGGTTCGAGTGAAGTTTGGTGCAGATCCGTCAAAAGGGCTCTGCCCCAGAGGGTTTTAAGTGGACCAATGTCAGACTTTTTGATCTACAATGTTTACAAAAAATATAATTTAAAATCAGATGTTTACTTTCACCAACTGTTTTGTAGGTTGAATAATCACAACATTCTGTATTAGCATTAGTCATGATTTGAAATAGTGCCACAGTGTTTCTACAGATTGCAGCACAGAAAACTATTTTACTTTTGAATAAGTCCAAATGTATTAAACCCCAATCGCAGCACACCTGTGCACTTAACAACGTTTAAATTCTCCAATGTTAAATATTAAAACATAAAAACCTTTATAAAAGTACTGTATTATAAACAATAAAAGGGTTGACTTTTTTAAATTTATGACAACAGCTAATTTGCAACCAAAAGGTGAGTGAACGTAGCGAACGAACATCAACCTGGAGGCGAGTAAGCGTAGCGAACGAGCTAACCTGAAAACAAGTGAGCGCAGCGAACGATTTCCAACCTGAAGGTGAGTGAGCGTAGCGAACGAACTTCAACCAGGACGTGATTGAGCCATGCGAATACTTATGAAGTTAAGCGGGGCAAAGCCCGCGGGTACAGCTAGTTAATAGATAAAAGAACAATCTCCTTTCAATGAAAACTTCTTTAGGCCTTCATTTTGTTTGTTGCCTTCCGGATTACTTTACAAATTATATTCAAGAAGTCAAGGATAGGATCAGCTAGTTTACCTGGTAGATAGAGTCCAGATTAGTTTTGGTAACACACACAAAACACATAACACAAAACAGTAAAAATAATATTTTGTCTCTATTAGGGACTTCTCAACAAGCTCACACCTAACTCCATCCTAGCTACAATAGACGTTACATCCCTATATACCAATATCCACCACGCCAACGGACTTGCTGGAGTCGAACATTACCTTGATAAACGGACTAAAGGTGAACTTCCTAAAGCCTCTTTTATCATGAGACCACACATAACCTTGGTTTATTTAGTGAAACAGGTATATGGCGTTCAATAATAAACAGCACTTTTTATGGTTGGATCTTAAGGTTAAGAAAAGTTTATAGCTATTTTACAGTTTAAAACTAAACCCAGCAGGACTAAATCATTAGACTGAGTAATTGAAGAACCTGCTGGTCTAAATGAAAGCAATTAAAACTGAAACAACTTTCACATTCTGGACCCATAGATCATTAATATTTGGGCTTAACTATCCCTAGTGTGTCCTTATAAAAAAACTAAAAAAAAACTTGGGCTTGTGTGAAATTTCAAACAAGTGCCTGACTAGAGTGTTATCCAACAATGGTTTGTTTCAGGTTCCAAGCAAACTTTTGAAGGGGAAGACGAGCTACTGAACCAAGTACGGAATGCTTTAAATGACGTCAGGCCAGAGAGAATAGGTAAAAAGGTTGTAGACAATGTAGAAGATCATTCCACAGATACAAAACGTGGTGAAATACATTAATTTAAACAATAAATAGTGACTATTAGCGATAAGTCGGCAATTATTGTCAACCAGTCAAATATATCTATGTTACTTGAAACCCAGAAAATTATGTGATAAAAGCTTAAGTTCGTTGTTAACTTGCTTTGTTGTTATTTTTGTACATACCCACTGAGATATTCTGGCAAATGTTAATAAAGCTGGCTTAGTAAAATAAATGTGTTTTATTTATAGGTTAACTAATGCTTGGATTGCTTACTTAATTAATTGTCTTGGTAGCAGTTAAGTTGTCAATTAATTATCAATTCAATTATCAATTATTTAAGATGGGAATGTGCTATGTACATATTTTAACCCAAATATGAGTGAAGGATGAGTGTAACATAACATAAATTACAATATTCTTATATTTCATAAAATAAAATAGGCCGTTGCAATTAGCTGTTTATTTCATCAGCTGACTAAGTGCACGGTAAAAGTACATTACGTTACTTTTCTGTGTGTAGGCACGGCAAAGGGCAACTTTCCAGCCAATCAATACAGATGGAAAAACACCTATTTCTGTGTAGTATGATGTAAAAAAAATTGTATGATTCATGGGAAAGATTTGATTTAATGTGTTTTCTTAATATATTATTTTGGTTCGTTGAGTAAAACAAATCAATCAAAGTGAAGCATTTAACCAACAAAGTTTATTTTTTGATAGTTCCAATCTACACATCTTATGCCAAAGGAGTTTTAGTGACCTGTATTTTTGGTTAAAGGAGAATTATGAACATTGACCTTGCATGTTATAATCCTTCTTAAGGGAACTTCCCTTGTATGCCTTTGGCACTACATGTTCTCTGCTGTTTGATATCAGCTAATTACTTTAACAGTTTGTATTATCATCTATATTAGCTTTTAGCAAAATATAATTATTTGTTTACTTTTTTAAGGAGAAAGAAGGTCAATATAACACATAAAAAGTACACATTAAACTGATATTTCATCCCTTTCAGGGGCTTCTTCAGAGGTAGAAGGTAGAATGGCAGCAGTTCTGACACAGTTTTAAATGTCTTTCCAACACTTAATACACTAAAAGTTATAAACTGTTACACATATATATTTAGTTATTTACACCATTAATTTTACTGTACTACTGTAGTTAGTTGTTTGGGCAAGGAATATTTTGGAAGGAATTTGGGTTTATCTTATGTTTAAGTTGGGTGGAGCTTGTGAATTTGTAACAAATTGATAGGCCATTTCCCATCTTCTAAGCATCGAGCTATTGCATTGGTTCTTTGGTAGGGATTTCACAGCTTTTGTGGTGTAGCAACTGTCATATTGGAGGTTGTGGGTTAGGGTATGTTGTTCTATGAGTTTTTCTTTGTTGGGTTTAACATCATGACGGTATCCATTCATCCTTTTTTGTAAAGTTTCTGTTGTGAGGCCAATGTATTGGGCATTGGGTGCATTCTAATTGGTAAATCAGGTTTACCGAGTTGCAGGTGAGGTGTCCGGTGTCCTTATTTTGTACTGTCTATTGTGGAAAGAGCTGGAGAATGTTTCTGCTGGTTTGTGAATGTTGCAGGATTTGCACCTTTTCTCATTACAAGGGCAAGAGCCGGAGTTAGGCTTTTCTGTTGGGGGTATTGTAGTGTCTGGTAGTTTGGGATCTACAAGCAAGTTTTTCAGATTTGGAGGTTGTCGGATGGAGGTTTTTGAGGAAAATTCTTGGTTAGGCTCAAAGATTGTAGAATTTTGAAGGCTGATTTTAGAAGATGGTTCAGAGATTGTAGGCCGGGGTGGTAGGTGGTTATTAAATTTAGGTTTTGGTCTTGGTTGTTTATATTCTTCTCCTTTCTGGGGTTTTTGTTTGGATTGAGCTGCTTCTATTTGGGATTTTACAAGGTTTGTTGTTATGTTTATTGTTAGGTCCAGGAAGTTGACTGATTAGTTAGAGAACCCCCATTTTGAAGGTCGTGATAAAAGAAAACTAACAACACAAATTTGAGGTCTCTATCTTAACCCAGTAAAATATGGCAGTCAATTGAAATCTTTAGAAATCGGAATTAACTTACAATTTTCCTTACGTAACATTTTGGGAACAGTTAATATAAGATTTGTTAAAGCACTATTAACATCTCATTTTATTATTCATTACAAGGTTACAAACTTTCTACTGAAGATTTCTACTGAAACCAGTATTTTTTTTTGTAATTGTATTGCCATGTAATGTAAAAACTTGCATAATCAGAAATATTTTGTTTTTTGTTGAAAAGCAAACCTACCTATTCAATTTAATCATTCAGTTTGAATTAGAGAGAAAAAGATCAGATTGCTGAATCCTACCTAAATAAGATGTTAGATCAACAACAACTTTTAAAACATTGGTCAGTCGGCATACAAGCTGAGTGGAGCAGAACAGTTTAATGAGAAGAACAAAGTTTTCTTTTGGTTCAATAGGATTAAAAATGAGAGCAATTGCGTTCGTAAATCATCAAAGTTTTTAGTAGAAATTCACGTTAAACATTTCACAGAGGGCTTGAATATAATTTAATTTATAAAGCTCACAAGGGGAAAGTTGTATTATTTGTAAAAAAGTAACCTCTTGGATACATTTTGTTTTTGTATTTTTATAAAGCAATTAATTAAAGTGGTTCTCTGCCTCTTTCAGTTAATTTTAGCGAATTTCCCTATATTAGCTATTACCGTAGGTGGCATGGTAAGACCAGGACCGATTTACTTTTTCAATTTGTTGTCGCCAGAGGCCAAAAACACAATTATTCGTTCAAATTTATATATATGTAAACGTTAACGTTTGTAACCGTTTTTTGATGGTTATCCACCATCAACATTAAGGTTAATATTATGTTTTACGAGTTTTTCATGTATATACAGAATTTATTGTGGCACATGGATACTTGAACACAAGTGTACTTGTGTACTTATACTCTCTTTAAAAATAAAATTCCAACTCACCTCCCCACCTAATTTGGGACACAGGGTATTACTAAGAAAAAGGGTACATACTAATACACAAGTACATTTGTACTGGATGAAATATTTACTTTAGAAGTATTCAGAAAACAAATAATTTGGTGAACAATTTAAATGCATGATTAAGTGATGCTGGCTGAAGTTTTCAACATAAGAGAAGTTGGTAGAAGAAAGTGGTCTTCTTCAATGTGTTAATTGTTGAGATAGCTCCTGAAACAAAATGCCATTATGTAGACACTGTATTATTGATTCATCCATTTAGTAAAATAATGATTCATACTAGCCCTATATCATCGTTATGAGAGAGTAACCTAGGAGGTTTGAAGGGAAGTTCCCCATCACTCTTTTGCAGTTGATTGTATGCTGCAGCTGATTGGAGTTTATGCAAACCTCAGCTGTTGAGCTATTTTTCAAAGGTAGGATCTAGTGAAGGGGATAGATTTCTTCTTTTAAACCCGCCTAAATTTAGTGAATGAGTATATACAGTACAATCTCTAGTCTAATAGAATACAATGGCTGTTACAATCAAATGTTAAAAATCTTTAAAAAACATTAATTCTTAAAAAAAAAAAAAAAAAAAAAAAAACCCAGAAGGATGCAGCACAACACTTCCATCATCAACCACTAATGAGTTTAGAAGGCGAGATTAGGACATATTATGTTCATTGTTCACGTCCTAACATCTCCTAATTGTTTTATAAATTGCATGAACAAAGGTTTGGTCCCATAAAATTAAGGATAGAATATGTTTATCATTTTTTATTTTTCTAACCTAAAACAAGGTTTAACCATAAGTAGTGGTTATTGTGTACTACAGGTTGGGAAATATTACACACATATATCAGTACATCTATTGGTTATAGCACAGATGCCATTTTTGGGTTATCAAAATAATCATTCCAGCCAACAAAAAGGTTGTCAAAATACCAGGGTTTGGACCGTCCTGAAAATTAAAAAAAAATGCCTAGGCAAAGATTTATGCAAATATAATCAAACAAAATCTGAGCAAATGTAATCCACGAACTTACATGAAGATGCTACAGTCAGTTGTAGTTCCAGTTGTCAAAGGAAGGTATGATCTCTCTACATCTGTTGAGAAAGTCTCTCTTATACCCCGGGGGACAAGTGTCTCTACTGGGGACATAGATAGGATTGGCTGATACATTGTAGGACCAGCCTAACACCAAGCATACAGCCACCATGGACACAATCACTACTAGCCGGGCGATCATAGCTGGACCTGGAGTTGGACATTGCGAGGTTTAAGTCAACAGGTATCCTACTATTGACTTTTGACTCAGTATAATAGTAGTAGACAGACATCCCGTATGCATGGACTAGCTCTTGCCAATGTGGTACATTACATTGTTAAATAAGCTATTCCCAGAATGAGTTTCTCCATTAGCTTTTGTTACTATGAAACTCGTATGACATAAAAATGCTGTAGTTGACAATAAATTGTTATTTTTGGCTTGGTCAACAATTAGGCGTATTCGACAGAATTAGTAATATAGGGCGTCATCCAAGTAAACAGTCAAACTTCAGGAAATGGTTCTATAGGTCAAAATAAAATAAAAATCAAGAATGTAATTTTCTCCAAAAAACTTTGTCATCCATCTGGCTAGGCTATACAAAGTGTGCCTCAATTTGCCTTATTTTCAACTAAAGATCATTTTGGTATTTGAGCTATTTGTTATTGGATCTTTTTCAATTGGTGTTGTTTCATTGAACATTTAAAATGGTAAACAAAAATGTTCTTGACATATTTTCATAATAATTACCCCTTTTTTAGAATTTAAGAAATAAACATGTAAAGGCCCTCTATTTTGAAATTCGGGATTGGACCAACTCATTTTTTTATTGTACTAAAATACTAAGCAAGTTCCACAAAGATTGTTTGAATAAATTCAAAGATACACTAAAATATTGTACTTGATTATTTTAATGTAAAAATATGGTGGATCTCTGGTTAACAAAGCGTTTTTGGGAAAAATGTCATTCTTGATTTTCCCTTTAATTTTACCCGTTTCCCGGAGTTTGGTTGTTTACGTACGGGACACTCTGTATACATCAACACACACTCTCATTGTCTTTCTTTATTAACTTTTACGTTAATTTTTATCATAAAACTATTTACAGCTTTAACATGGGAATAAAATGTCTTCTGAGTCAGCCCCACACACTCAAGAATGAGTTTACTCATTGACATTGATAGGAATAAATTAATCTAATCTAGACAAACAATATTCACCCTACTTATACATACAGGGTGTCCCATAAGCAAGTTCGAAAAATGAGGGGTATGTTAAATGGGTATACGAAATAACATGAAAATTGAGAATAAAATTTTTTGCAAAAACCTTGTTAGCAAAATATCCACCATTTTAGGTTTTTTGGATTTTAAAGTCATATCCTAAAACTATTTAAGAAATCTTTATGAAATTTGGTAAACAATCTTTAGGAGCCATAAACTTTTTATGGCAAATAACCATAAAACATATTATTTGGTTAAAAAGGCAGCCATTTTACTTTTATAACTTTAATTACTAAAATATGGCAACACTAAGTAAAAGATCCAATAATAAATAAATAGCTGAGAAAAAAAACAGTCTAGACTGTTAGGGCGCACCTCCTTTTACGTTTAAAAATTGTGATTTCTTAGCTATTTTTATTATCATTTGATTTATTCGAACTTGGTGGTATTTGATGGATAATTTGAAATGCTAAATATTTCTTGCTACATAATGAGAAGTTTTTTGAAAAAATATTCTTTATTTTCATTTTATTTTGACCCATTACACATATTCATAAATTTGTGTACTTACCTACAGGACACTCTTTATACCTAAAAAACCTCACCTATGCTTTTTTTCGATCCCTATTTTATTTAAGTTGATCTCTATTCAAGTCAACAAGTTTCAAGTTAATCTTATATATTTTTAGATGTATTAAGCCAGGTTATGTAAAAAGTATTTCTTGTATTTTTTTCAGAGTTATTAATTGTTATATCATTATTGAAAATATTAATCACAAAACACTCTAAAATAAAAATAAAATAATTTAAATAGTAGGATATCAATCTATAAATAAGATGTAAACAAAACGACTACTTTGCTTAAGCTGGAAAAAAATTTTGTTCAATTTTAACAAATGCTTATTAAAGAAACATAAGTTTATTGGTCTATAATAATAGATTGGTAGCCTATAAAATGATTAACTTTTTGGATGATTTTTAGTAAAAACATAAACTATAGTGGGAGTAAAAAAATGGGTTTGTCAATATTATTGAAATTTAGAACAAATAGGTACTTGTCCAGTGATACTTTGCGAATCAAATAAATTTGCTAGAACATTGATAGTGAATAAAAGGTTTCCTTAATAGTAGATAAGAGTTACATTGAAATCTGATTGCATAGTATGTAAATAGAAAAATTAAAACAAATGTATAAACGAGCAGCAGAATTTTTAATGTTTGATGTGGTAAACTAAATCTTATATTTTCCTTAAGTCTACTTCTCTTATATTAAAATAAAGATATTTATGATATTCAAATGAAAATTTACAGATCAATTTAAACATATATATTCACTCCTGATAAAATTACAAAAACAACTTGTAGAGTTCACTTTTAAGTTGATTTTATAATATTGATATTAGGGTCTATATTTACTAACTTAAATACTCACTACAATCTAAACCTTAAACCACTGTAATGTCCAACTGCACAGGATCACAAACTAGTTGATCGTAGTGAAAATGAGAATTGATCTGAAAATTGTAATCAACTGATTCAGGAACTGACTAACCTACACATCCGGTGGCTAACCTGCATCAGATAGTGAATTGATAAGATATGATGGTTCTACTTCTACAGTTTAGTGACTAAACACCTCAACTAGAGTACACTGTGAGAGTTAAGTGATACAATAAGTGCGATATATTAGTAGTCCATTTCTCTTAAGTGGCCTTGACTAATGAAACAACTGAGTAAAAACCAAAATTGATTCATAACCATTAGTACTGTATGGTTCAGAAACTTTGAGATTAGAGTGTAGAGACAATATACGGACCAGTTCAAGATAACAGAGGTTGAGATATAAAAGAACATAGAGTTTTTTTTTTTTTTTTAATTCATTGTTAAGCCCCTGAGCTGTAGATATTATTGTAAGACTAGATTACGCCAATAGCTCATTGAATCGTGAATTTCACTTCATGTTTCAGTACATGTTTCGACACATTGTCATCATCAGCTGAGTACTAACTAGTGAAGTTTTTATTCACCATATGGTTTCGTCATTGTTCAATTAAATAAACACGTAACATGAATACAACACGACACGGAACATAAAGCTTTACGTGTTGTAAATGTATATGTTCCGTGTCGTGTCGTATTCGTGTTACGTGTTACGTGTTTATTTAATTGAACAATGACGAAACCATATGGTGAATAAAAACTTCACTGGTTAGTACTCAGCTGATGATGACAATGTGTCGAAACATGTACTGAAACATGAAGTGAAATTCAAGATTCAATGAGCTATTGACGTAAGTAATCTAGTCTTACAAGAACAGAGCTCAGAAAAGTTGATAAACACCCAGATTTGAGGGTGTTTCCAAAAGTAAAAGGCTCGAGTGGCTATGTGGGATGGAGAGAAGATAAATAACTTTTAAAAGTATATTCCGAGCAGTACCACAAGGTAAACGACCTCTTGAAGTAATGAAAGACATCTTCTTACTGGGATCTACGTTAGATGAGGGGATAGAAGATATGGGATGGCAGAATCCTCTTAAGGTGTCAGTGGCCTATAATCGGATTAAACAAATAGGTGGTCTCGTGACATTTGCTTACAAAAATGGATTTCCCCATTAAACTGCCAGGATTTGCCAATATGCATGTTAAATAGCTGCATAAATTATACCTATTTAGTTTTAATTGACTTCTCGATTCCCGTCCTTAGAATGGGTCCACAGCTCGTAGTCAGTAATAAAGTTACATTGTGATTTTCACTACAATCCTATACTCATCTTACATTTCATATATTGAGTTAAAATACGCCTCAGTAGCATTCCCGTGTAGGATTACGGATTCAACAGAAGTACATAATTATGATTTCTCAGCTTATAAACATGAATGTTAATAATGCTAAGGAATTGACCATTTTTGTTTGGAGAAAAACAGAATGGTAGTCACTAGCGTTTACCAAGCAAGCCTTGATGTTATAACTTTCACCTTTCACAGTTCCACCGACAATATCTCTTATCAGTTAACTAGTCAGTGTGTCAGTAACAATAACAACATTCTCATTGTGTTCTGTTATATGTTTGTCAAATTACTCAAAGCATCAAGGTTGTGTGATCATGTTCTGAGACTTAAGTCTGGTAAATAGCTTTGATTTGTAACAACATTAGATGTTTGTAAGCCTACCTCCAAAATAAACTCCAGCTAAAGGCTCTTGTGTGGCAATGAGTCACATTCACTTACCTATAAGATAATCACGCTATTCTTTAGGATTAATGCGTTCATCATATAGAATCTAGAATTTGAATGTAATGGCAATGACAATCAACGTGGTCAATTAACTATAGCTACGAAATGGTGTCCTGGTGCCTGTGGTACAAGCATCAGTGTAGGTGATTTCTACGAAACACTACTCCTCCGTTAATAATGGACGTATTTTTACAGAAATCAGAAATCAGAAACTTTTTATTGCCGTAATTTGCAAGGTTTTTACAAACGATGAGTCAAAATAAAGTGTTGTTTGTGTAGACGCCCCCTTTCACCAATTCCTGTAATAAAAAATCCTCAGGCTTTGCCCCACAGGCCATCAAAGTTGGTGTTTTTCCCATAAGATTAACATGGGGGAATCTAAATATTTAATTGGAAACCTTGTTTTCATTATAAGTTGTTATTGTTTGTGTGTTTTTCAGACTTCTATTGACTTCGTTGTCAAATGTGATTTAATTGAGTTGTTTTATAACGAGGTTGGTGGCCTCTTTTAACCTTGCATTTGCCCGTCCACGTAGATTACACGTATCTGTGCGTGGAACGTATCCAGCTAGGGGTGCGCTGGTACATTACAACTGTCCTCATAAAAAGTCGTAACAGGTACTAGGAACCGAACCCACGACACCGCTGCTTCGCCCCGAAATCGTGGTGCTACCGACTCAGCTTTCGACTCACAAATTATTTGGTAAGAAATCTATATATTTAATACCGTAAGCAAATCGGTCCCCACGAAATATCTCGAGCTAGGAAAAAGGTAGTATGGCTGTTGAGGATTCATTTTAAAGCTTAAGGTCCAAGGACGGGGGGGAAATATCAGAAGTGTCTATCATTACCCCTGTTATGCCCCACAGGCCGTCAAAGATCCAGTCAGTTTCTAATAGAAGTACTTTACTGCTAACAGTGTTTCAATAAGCTGTTTCAAATAAACCTGATGTTAACATTACGGTATTTGTATATTTATTGATTTTAGTGTTCTGTTTTTGGGTTAGAATGGTAATGTGGCGTTGATATGTATTGTGTAAAGGTGTGTATTAAATTTCAATTTGTATACAAAACTAACTTCCTTTTAGTAAATTTCCCTATAGGGAAGGGACTATTACCGTAGGAAAGACCTAGACACGAGACAAATTTACCTTTTTCATTGTGATATCCCCAGGAGCAAAAGCACTATTCGTTCGAATTGTTATATATGTATAAAATTCTAATTTTACATTATGTGTGTCCGTAAACACGAAAACTCGAGTAATTTTCGTCCGATTTTGATGACATTTTGCATAAATATGTAGAGCTGGATATTCTTGAACGAGCTTTTAATCAGCAATATCGGGTAATTGTAACAACATATATAGAGTTTTGAAGTTAAAAAAAAACTTGAGTTTTAAAATTTTATCCTTAAAGCATGGAAATGGCCAATTTTCATTTCAGCTAACATGCAGAGCTCAAAAAACCATTTTGTATGCTGAAGCATTGATGTGCAACTAAAGGTTACAAATGAAATGAAAGAACAACATTTACAATTACCAATGTTATTATTTTTCATAGTACATATTATGTCAATCAAATTTGGCAAACTTATCCATTCCATCCCATACTACCAACATAAAAAAATGTGTCTCTTCCTCACAGCAGGAAACCTAAGTATTCTTTAATTCTAATGTTAATATAAATGGGGAATAAATATCACTTGTTTATGGAAATATTTTGGTTAAAATCCAGACGAATTGAAATTAGCTTAGTCTGCAGGTTTGCTGCGGCGGGAATATTTGTACTTGTATGTGGAATAGTACCTACGACCAGTTGATGTGGCGTAAAATTGATTTTTGGGCTGCAAAACATCAGATCTGTTCATATCATTATACTAATGGATATAAATAACAATGAAAGAAAGGAATTTTGGGTAAATCCTTTTTGAATAGTGTTATTGGCAGAAAAAGTATGGTTAGCAACTTAACTTACGAACAAATAATAACAAGTTTATAATAACACGGGGAGGGATAACTTGCAGCTGGCATAACAATAGTTGGAATGGAGCTCTCTGTTAAAGATTCGTTGATGTTGGAAAAAGGTTATGCCACGATATTGAATGTAATTTGATAAAATGACCAACAGAAATGCAGTTGTCCTAACATCGTAATTTCAACGACGAAAGACTTTTCCCTCAACATGCATTTGACAGAATATACATGTAGTATGAAAATTATTATTTTTTTTTAAGATATAAAATGAGTTACGCTTTATTTACTCACCAGTCATGTTAACCCCACTTCTTCCCATAGCCCTTCTTGTGACCTCCACCGTAACCTCCATGGCCATGACCCCCGTAACCATAGGATATGGGAACGACAGCGTAACCTACATATCCACCTTGATGACCTCCTCCACAACAACCACCTCCATGACCCCCATAGCCCCCATAACCTCCTCCATACCCTTTATATTTGGTTCCGTCTATCACAGAGAAGACCGCGATTACCAGAAGCAACAGCGCACTCGTCTTCATGGTGAGACTGAATAAAACAGGATATTCTAATTTTATTAAAGATGGACTTGAGAGTGGAAATCCCGCAGCGTCAGACCTTATTGTCCAGTGCGAGATAATGGCAAGTTGTACACGCGCTGTAAATCTTCCTCGGACCTCCACTTACAGAGTCATTACGCATCCTTGAATAAGTTGGTAGGCTAAAGTGGCAAGAAATGCGGATCTTTGTGTTATTCGAGAAATCACAATGCAAATATAATTTTCATTTATTCGTGAAAATGAAAATTCTCAATGAAAATTGTATACAAAATAAGTTTGTTGAAGGGTTAATAGCCTAGCACAGTGAGTGTTCAAATTACCCTGAACAAATCATTCCCCAACAACTACGGCAGTATTTTTTCAAAGTTAAAAGAAAATATCGGAAAAAAATGTGTTTTTAATTTAATCGTATTCGATATTCGCTCTATTCGGTAACTGAATGGAAAGTGCTCGCTAACAATCTAATGGTCACCGGTTCGATCCTGAGAAAGTTAAGTATTTTTTTGTTGGTTCGAAACTGGACCCAGCTGTCCCTCATCACCCAGCTTATCTCAGCCAGTAACAAAGCTACACAGATAATCTCAAAATATTCTACACTCATATTTGGGTTAAAATACGCACACATGTGGCATCCCAATTTCAACTAATTGATAATTGATAATTCAGGCGGATATAATACTACGACATTTAGACGAGAGTTAATTTGGAAGAGTAAATTGCATTGTAGAGGTTTACATTTGAAAATAATTTACTTCAGATCCTGTGTAATAAGTAACTAACGTTTGTGTTTTTTTATTTGCAATTAATTACTCAATTGAATCCGAAGTTGAGAGGATTATATTGTTTACCATTGGCACAACGTCCAACTTTAGCCGGTAAACCTTAGTCGGTGCGAATAGAGTTTGGGAAAAAATAGATAGAAGCACGACAAGAAACTGTAGTGCGCAGTGGGCAAATGGAGAACTTATTGAGAGCACGCAAAAGTAAATTAAGAACAAGGAAAAATCTGATGATCGTTTTTGTCCCGCTCTAAATTAAAGCTAGGGAAACGATTTTTTTCTTTGAACTATCATCGAAAATAGCTACTTTCTGTACTATGTTATTAAAAGTTTTCCGTTCGACCATGACAATGATTCACACGTAGACATACAAATTCACAGTAAAAATATTAAATATAGGTATTGTGTTGTGTTGAACTACTTGAACTCATCCTTGCCTTAGGACTTGTCCCAAAAACAATTTTTCAAACTGAAAGAAAACCAAAATTGGTATTTTGCACTGAAAACTGGATGCTTCTCACCACAGCTGTTACTAAAGAAGTTATTATAGTTTTTCGAGTATTACAAAAATACAAAGTGAAATGTAAAGAATGTGCTCTACGGCATGAAATTCACTAAACTTGAGGTGCGTACATTCCAAAAACTTAAGTTACCTTGATTTCATTTCATCAACGTCCTTTGATCGGGATCGTTTGTGTAGCGGAAGAGCTTTGTAGACGCTGAGACGTCTTTGCCTTGTAGACGTTCGATTGACAGTGTTGCTTGAGATGCTGCTAGGCCTAAATCTACTGAAAAGTCTGCTGTTGACATACTGCTGGTTGATATAAGGTCTATTGTTGCTGTATTGGCTGCTGATGTAAGGCCTATTGTTGCCATTCTGCTGACTTGAGAGGCTATTACTGCCATACTGCTGACCATTCATATATTGTTCACCTTGTGTCGGCCCAGACGTATAAGTCCCTCCCTGTATTTCTCCGTTTCCACCTGTCACTCCCGGACTCACTGTCCATATTTCGTCGTCCTCTCCCCCAACCACAGCACGACAGTCACCCCCTGGGTCTCTCATCATCCCCCCAGGACACGCCCTCACAGGACTTGCCACCAGGATACGAGGAAACGCTGGGTCGGAGCTGTGGAAGTAATGGATGAAGTAGTGCATACAGTAGTTGTAAATAGTCAAGGCTATTAATCTTTACTAGACATTTCATTTACATGGGTCAGGTCCTACAGAACAGTTGAATGAGCCACTCTCAGAATGTTCAGGAGTTCTATTTTCTCCCTTAATACCAAGAGAGTTATAATAAGACGTCATAGTTTACTATTAAACGTCTTTCCCAGTTTGGGGTGATTAACAAGTAGGCGTATTCAACAGAAACCAGTAGTTCAGACCAGCGTACTCTGTCGATGGCTAAATTTAATTACGGTAATTTAACGAGAAAAAAATTTAAAGTGAGACTGGAATGTCTTGTTCTATCAAAGCTTTTTGCTTACTTTGATACTGTAATTTTACGTAAAATCTAATACCTAGTAACTAAACAAATCGTTCACACGGTTGCTTCAAGTGCAGAAATATTAACTGGGAAAGAAATAATTCCACAACACTTGGATTCTTTGTTTGAAGTTCATTGTTGGTGATGGTGAGTTAATGTTGTTCAAAGGTTTATTGCGGACATTTTCCATCACGAATGTAAAAAAACAATACACTACGTTTCGGGATCTGGAATCTGATCCCGTCTTCAGGTGAAAAACTTAACTAACACATTACAACTAACAATACACAAACGCCCAACCTAAGTTGGAATACACTACCGAGGGTAGTAGTCAAAAAATATGCACTAGTCAAGTCATGATACAACATGCAATTAATAACAAATCACAAAACACTATAATCTATAAAAGGTTTACGTACAAAAAACTCACACAATGGAACACTAACAACACCGTACGCTATGACTCCACCAATGAGACTCCACATTACAGATTCCAGATCCCGAAACGTAGTGTATTGTTTTTTTACATTCGTGATGGAAAATGTCCGCAATAAACCTTTGAACAACACTTGGATGTTATTTAATATGTTTCATATAATTTTTTTTAATGCTCGCTTTCAAAATATATAAACATTGTACATTGCTTTATGCGAATTTGCATCGTCAGACTTGCAACACGCCTGAATGTTGACAAATTTTCCATTACTATAAATTTGTTCTAACAAACAATTAAAAGAATTCATTTAATGGCCCTTTTATAAGTGAAATATATATTCCATTTCCAATTTTAAATAGAATGTTGTAAATGTTATACTGTTTGAACAAATTTGAAGTATGTTTCTCAACATTCAGACACATTTAGCCTTAATCTGATCATTATGATGTTTGCAATCTAATCCACTCCTATATCATTTACCCATTCGAATAATACCTCTAAATCATTATTTTGGAAATGAAAATGCTTAAAACATTTTAATACGCTGAAAAACAAAAAAATCGTATATCATAATCACGTAAGCATTGTGTAAAACTTAATTAGTTTATCTCAACAGGAAACGGTAAAATTAGCATTGGTGTCAGATACGTAAGGTGTACTGTACACAGTAACTTATTCAACTGCCTCAGTTACATTCAATCAATAACAATTTACGTTATACTAATAGTTTGAGAAATAATTGACTCTAAACAATAAATAAAAAACAAGTGTATTCTGTGCTGAATACATTTTTAATATTATAATTTGAATATGAAAATAGCCAACGTTTAAGTAATACACTCAACGGAAAATATCTGAAGATTAAATTATAACGTGTCCACTTAAGTTTGTACTCAAATGGCTGAATTCAAAAATAAGCTAAAGCAAAGAGAAAAATTAAGAACCCACTAAATCAACCCATGGCAAAATAAGTTTATGCATTTGACCAGAAAACTCATTGGATAAGCAAAAGGGTCGCCCAATAATAATTTAACAAAACTGTGCAGTCATGAGGATGATTGGTTCTAACTCCAGACCTAAGTAATGCAGCACAACCACAAAAACACGAGTAAAAGAACACAACACTAACCGACACAAGGGACATTGTGTGGACTGAAGACTGCCATGCAAGATTACGGTGAAGGTCGAATGTGTATTGTTGACTGTTGTAAGAGATAATACTTGAGGGACGGCTTGTCTCGATGTTATAGCACGGGAGCTTTTTCTTAGAGACCGAGGTTAGAACCCAGTCAATCACCAATGGCAACATTTTATGTAACATCACCATGACTTAGTGGTAGGGAGTCTGGAGTCCACAATCTGGAGTCAGCTACGCATGCTTAAGTGCGTATTTTAAGCCAAATGCGGATGTAGGATGGGTAGGGAATTGACTTGATTTGCGAATATCTCTTTCTGGCTAAACCCAGCAATTCTTTAGCCAGGATCATTTATTAGAAGGCAAATCACCATGGATAGGTGAGCCCAGTTTTGAACCATCAGAGGGTCTTACATTTTTTTCAAAATCCAATTGGCAATCTTATGAATACGAAGTTTTGGAACCTAACCTAACCTAACCTACCAAGTAAATAAACGTAGATAGGTCGCAGGATAATTGTCTTTTTACTGGGGGAGTTTTCAATGAAAAGCCACACAGTTTAATTTCCGCCCATTTATAATACATTTTCGATACAAAACACAATACACTAGTGCTAGTGATTTATTGGTTTTAATTTTAAACTGTGTGGTGTTTGGATAGTCACACTCCAACGGCATCATCAATCTGACACAGACTTTCTCCCATTAGCTTGTCAACAACCTTTATAATGGGTAAGCGATGAGAGTAACTATGATAATTAATAGGTAAAATCATGAAAGCTGCATCAACTTTTGAACCGTAATTTTTGCAGGGAAGGGGGGTTGCACTATTTTGTTTAGAATTAAAAGGATCATAACATAGGAATTTCAATCAGAATCGGTTTCTTTTAAAAAATCCATTTTTCCGTTTTCATGGGTTTTAATGGGTAAATAACACAATTTACAATAACTTTTGAACCATAAGATACTAATTCTAATCAAAGCCAGCCTTTTTTTTAAATCAAATTTTCGTCTATATGCGCAAATAACATAAATTACAATAACTGTGGAACCGTAATTTTTACAGAAATGGGATTTGTACCATTCTGTTCTGAATTTAAAGGGCTATAACATACTAAAAAAATTCTTACCATAATCGTTTTGGCCGTTTTTGAGAAAATCCAATTTTCCTGTTATTTTATGGGTTTTCATGGAAAAACCACCATTAAAAATAATTTTTGAAAAAAAAACACCTCGGACATTTGAAAGAAAACAATACTTTTTCCATGTACCATGTATAGGGGGAGAAAGTAAAAATAGAAACGCCATATTATAAAATATACCATAGAAATAGTTTAGTAAAAAAGATAACATAGGCTACATTTTCCAGCAGTTTTTTGTGTCTAAAAATAAACCTAAGGCCATACAAAACGGGTATTAATAGGGCCTACATATAAAATCTTTTGCCAAATAATTTACTTACAACGCAGTTATAAAGATGTATTATGTGTCAAAACCTTCGAAGGGGCCTGAAGATACTTAGTAATTCTTCAGAAGTTGTACTTTCATTCAGCGATTCCTCAATCAGATGACTGCCAAAGTCGCAATAAGCTCGGAGGCGAGGGTAGAACAAACACCCAGTCAAGGGAAGAATTCCAACAACCTTTTGTGCCAAAGACTCGATTTAAAATCTACTCGCGTGCCCCAAGTGCTCTTGATTTGGAGCCCATCAAGTCTTATCGCAACTCGTATTCAAAAACATATAAACATGTTTTAATATTTTAACTATGTGTACAACTAGCATTAACTTATTTTTCTAATTATGGGGTGTTGTAGGAAATATTTTCGTGCACTCTGTGTATTAAAAAAATAAAATAGTAGTTTAATTTTGTCGTTAAGTTACCGAACACATGGGTGATGTTTTTTCTGTCTAATACTGTCAAACTATTCTATACAACTCCTTTAAGAACAAGTATTAGTGGCACAATCATCAATCCTAAAAAAAATAATTCATTGAGTAACTCGCTGATACAATTATTATGCTCTTATTTAATAAAAACTCATTTATAACCCACAACCAACCATTCTATACACTATTAGGTCTCAACTCTTTGTGGAATTGTTTAATACAATTATTTGGTAGGCACCTTTGACCAACAGGCCAATAACAAGATACTCACGTTTGACAGTTGAAGATAAAAACAAGTCAACTTTGTTATTACTCATTAAGCTCTTTTGTTCTATTCGACTCAGGTTAGTTCTTGCACCAAGTAATGTTTTATAACAGGTTTTCTGTTAATTCATCATCTTAAGAGCGAAAGAGAAATTCCACCGTGTAAATGTAGTATCTTTTTATTCAGTCGAAGTCCTCAATTAAATTAAAAAGATGCACGCCCTAACCCTTGTATTAAATTATTTTACCTACGACCGTTTTTTAAAGTAGCCATTTCAGTTCAGTTCTTAGAATTGAAAAGTTTCACTTAACAGCTGTTTACTTTCATATCAGCATAGTTTCATTTCATATCAGCATAGTTTTTCTCATATCAACACAGGTAACGGACCAATGAGGTTCAAGTATTGAGAGAAAACAATTAAAATTGTAATGCTTCAAACGTCAACTAATCAGCTAATCAGCTGATCAGTTGACAATTTTAATTGTTGATCTGACTTGTTCCTGTTGATACTCGCGTATTCTTAACCTAAGTAGGTGGAAGTTAAAGGAAGGTAGAGTAAACTGTTTTAAAAATGTCATTTAGTGAAAGTGAAGTTGACGAGATGGAAATGAGAGCACAAACTGCTTATAATATTCTATAATATTCAATGCTGAGATCTAACTGTAAATTAACTCTTTCACTATAATCATTCAGTTGTAAAAAAAAAAGAAATTAAATGCAATTATTTCCCTAATTGTACCTGATACAGTATTTATGGTAAGAATGATGTTAGCAGAACGTATTCCCTGAAAAAAGGTAACTTAATTATTTAACGAAGTTTTACAAACACGTGATTACATGAAATCAGCTGATTATACAATAAGTCGTTGCATCACTTTCAGTGGCACTGACAATAAACGAAAACATAACCTCTCTAAGAAGTTATGAGTAGTGATTGTTAGTAACTAAAAACCAGATTATTAGTAATTAAAAAACTTTCGTAGGTAAAGTAGTGTACGCAACTCGCGTTAATAGTCTTTACGACACTCGTAGAAGTTTTTAAGAAAATTTTCTACTCGTGTCGTAAAGACCAACTTAACGCAATCGTTGCTTAAACTACTATTACATCGTACTATCCGGCAAGCAGCCGTTTTTAGTTCTCTAAATGGTCAGCAAAATCGTAGTTTTCAGGTAAAATGTTTATGTTCGCTAACCTCAAAATTTTATCAGAGCATAATGGAAATGCTTTTAACCACACAATACAGTATTTAAAGTTACAGTATGTTGAAAACAGCAGTAATGTAAACATTGATAACGATTTTTTGTAACCTAAAATTTTTTTGTCTAATTTTATACGATTAGAAGATTATATCCACAATATGATGAAAATAGTTGTTCAGTAGTATTTTTAATCTTTAGGGAGTAAAAATCAGCTTTGTCAACTCAGTTGTAATTTTCGAGTCAGTTTAGGCCCTAGTGATGAAATATAATGTACCATTAATTTTTATCCCAACTGCAAAAACCTCCAATACAATAAGTTTTAAACAGGCCTTAGCCTGTTTAAAACTTAACTACATATGTAGGAAACGGAATGTTTACTTTAATTGCAGGAGTTAGTTTTTATTGTAATTTCAATAGGTAATTTCAAAGAGGTCTTTGGATTTTTCAGTTTGGTAAACATATAGAGTTGCATAACACAAATAATTGTATCGAACTAATAAAAGAAACACCCTAGTAGTATTTGTGACTTGCATTCAAATTATAAATGCGAGTTTTTTTTTCTGGTTGATTATAATTTGAAGGTAGTTAGCAAATACTTTGGTTAGAACATTCTGTGCTTGGGGCAGACAAGATAAGTCTACTCTGCTGGGATTATCACTTGTAAGGTTTTGTGTTCATATTTTCCACCCTAAAATATCTTGATGCACCAAATTATTTCTCTTTAAATATATCTAGACACGGTGCGTATTACATCACCCTCAATTAATTATTGCTTCACATTTTACCATCGACAATATTTCAGAAAAACAATTTTGAAACAAGTGTTGTTTTTATTAACAGTTTGAAATATTGATCTAACTACTTTCAACGACTCCTTCTTTATAATGAGTTTAAGTTTGTGGACTTAACAACTTTATGCCAATTTCCCCTCATATTTAAATGAAAACTGATTGACAATAAACCAATTAAAAATGTCCACTGTAAATATACACATTAAAAAAAAATTAAAAACAATTGTACACTTAAAACTAAGTCTTATCCATCTAACAAAATAGCATATGCAACCCTTGCGTTTGTACATGCGTGAGATTTAGGTGCCGTATTCAAAAGATCTCCAAGAGATTATGCAAAGACAAATCCATCCCAGGTTGCGTCGAAATGTTTGAAAGAATTGAATATTTCATGTCACAGGATTGCCAGGGATGTTGCTTTGAACTTTATATGGAGATTGAAATATCTAACAAAAAAACGTGTTTATGATAATAGGGGCATTGACTTTGAATTGCTTCAAGTAAAAATAAATTTCAGTAGCTGTAAACTAAAAGTAATGACCAGCTGTAAGAGAAAAAGTATCCCCATCTAAGTGAGTGAAACTCTATTACGGACAGAGTTGAAACATGAAGCGTATCAGAGTGATGAGCTCATCCTGAAAACCTATTTACTTTTTCACGAAACCCTTAATCACCTGAGAACTGTTTGAGAAATAAAAAAAACCTTGTATTTGATAAAACTACCTTTAGTATTGTTTGTTTACTTTTTAATACTTTTTCAATGAAATGGCGACCATACAAAGTGGGTATTTTAAGCCAAGTATGAATGGAGGTGAGTGTAGGATGAGTGGCGCGATCTCGTGGTCTTGTTAGTGACTAAGGCCGGCTTATTCCATAGACACAACTGTTAATTAATAGCCCATACAGCTAATGTGAACCAAGGGACCTACAGTTGAAAACATTTGAGCATGTATGCTCAACGACAAGTTTTCATTAATATTTTTTAAGGTTTGTTAAATATGACTGTGCCAAGTTTAGCCTACAACCTACTAACTCGTTGCCAAGAAGTT